CTGCCGATCCGAAGGTTGGCAGTTCGAATCCCCGCATTGGGGTGAGCTCCCGTTGCTCGGTCCCTGCTCCTGCCAACCTAGCAGTTTGAAAGCACATCAAAGTGCAAGTAGATAAATAGGTACCGCTCCAGCGGGAAGGTAAACGGCGCTTCCGTGCGCTGCTCTGGTTCGCCAGAAGTGGCTTAGTCATGCTGGCCACATGACCCGGAAGCTATACGGCGGCTCCCTCGGCCAATAAAGCGAGATGAGCGTCACAACCCCAGAGTCGGCCACGACTGGACCTACTGGTCAGGGGTCCCTTTACCTGGCACTGAAAACGTACCCTTGGAGCTGGACCTCAGTGCCTGGGTTGAATGATGGGGTGGAGACACTCCTTCAGGTAAATCTGGGACTGTATCTGGGAAAGAGAGACACATGGAGGGACTGTGAAAACACTACAGGTGAGCTCACCTTCTCTGTTGCGACCAGGCCACGGGCCACGCCAAGTGATCTGGCAAATGGCAGTCTGGATCTCCTGGCTGCTGGCAACTGGCCAATGCTGGCAGGCTTTGGATGGGCGTTCTCTGGATGGGCAGGCCCAACTTGACTAATGAGGTTTCTTGTGCCCACTCCCAGGGCGGATAAATTGCAGCCTGCCCGGCACCCTTCCTCCGCCTTTTTGTTGGATCTCCCACCAACCGTCCTTTAATTATTACTTCTAATTATGCTATGACCTTGCTATGGACCACACTGGCAGCTGTATTCGGGGACAGGCAGGGATTCCACCCCCCAACGTGGCAAATTGGCACCGTCCGTCTGGTTTTTGCCTGCCTGACAGCAATCGTCCCAACTTTGTGAGGTTAGGTGTTGGGTAAGGCTAGGTCTTGGCCGGAGGCGAGGTTGTAGCCTCTGCCTGCCCCTCTTGGGTAATGGGTGATGGGATGCTGCTAAGGAATCGGGGGCAATTGGCAAGCCCCCAGCTGGCTCCAGCCCACCGGCCGACATGCCGGTCAAACTCCAGTCCTTGGTGCAGCATTAATCTGTGATCCAGAGCTTCAGAAGCTGGGCACGCAACTCAGCAGAGTAAACGCACAACAGAAGTGGCAGGGAGGGGCTGTGTAAAGCATATTTACAAGCAGTTTATTCAGCGTACATCAGGACAAGAGGAAAAGCATGTCTTCTCCCTTTCATGTCCAAGCAAGCAGCCTAAGCAGTATCTATACACACAAACGGAAGTTCCCAGCAAGCTGTGCTGGAGTGTAAACAGACATGTGACATACAACAATTCCACACGTCTGTTAAGGTGGAACGGAACATCAATATCCTAACAAAGGGTAGCCTGTTGAAAGGATCCAGGAGGAGTGTCTTCTGTCCGATGCTCAGGTGGGGGCTAGGGCCATACCACTCCTCCAACGGGGAACCCTTGAGGGGTGTGCCCCTATTTGATGTAGGTCATAGGGCACCCCCTCCAAGATGTGGTTTACTCTTAGGTGCACTTCCAGCAGATGGGCTAGAGTAGAATAGTGATGATTTCACCCTGTGCCAAACTGTTCACATCTGAAACCAATAAAATTGTGGCCTTATTTGAACCCCCAAACCAATAGAGTGGTACCTTGGTTTTTGGACAGAATGCATTCCGAGAGTCCATTCGACTTCCGGAACCATTCAAAAACCAGGAACGTCCTGCAGCCAGTCAGAAGCCGCGCTGGATGTTCGGCTTCTGAAAATCATTCAAAAACACTCACTTCTGGGTTCGATCGTTTGGGAGCCGATTTGTTCAGAAGTCAAGGTGTTCGGCTTCCAAGGTACGGCTGTATGCTGTTGTCCTGTCTGGTTATTTACTCTTGGTGCACAACTGGGGTGCCACCACTGAAAAGGTCCTTCCATCTAGATTCCCCCACTTCCGTTCATTTGGCAGGGGTGTCTGGGTAGGTAGGGCCGTCAAGTTTAATACCAGCACATTGAACTGGGGTCAGAAACAGCCTTTCAGCAAAGCTGGATAACTATTTACCCATCTTCCCATTGCTTGCTGAATTGGCAAGGGGCCTCCAGGATTGACTACAACACAATTCAAAAATTTCAGCTTTGTAGAGCAAAACCCAACCGGCCAATATTCCAACCATGGCACCCTCTAGCAAGCCAACCCTGGTAGAAAAACTGTTGGGCTTCCTTCGCCAACCAAGTTTGCGCAGCGACTGGGGCGATGGAATAAAAACTTGCCCGCGACATCTTTGCTTGTCTTTATTTTGAATAATAATCAAACAGCTGCAACTCGCCACTCTGCGCCAGCCAGTACCGTACAAAGCATTTGGTCAACTTGAATACAGTTTTCAAAATAATCAATTACCCTATCACATTGCTGCATTCGGTGCTGCAGGTAAACTCCCCCCTGCTATTTAGTTAAATTGTTAAGATGCTACAGGTATGTTGAATTGTTAAGAGCTCACAGATGTGCTGCCATACAGGTTATAATTACAAACACACACCTCTGAGTTGCACCATTGACCACTTCAATATCAAGAAAACCCAACAAAAACAAGTATACCGGGATGGGTGCCCTCTCGCGCCCTTGCCCTTTAAGCTGCTCTTCCTACCAAGTGAATGTTGCAAGAGGAGTTTTGGCCCTGCTCCAACCTTTTAGGGACTCGGCAATGCAGGTCGACCCGCAATGGGGTACATAAGAATACGTTTGAGCAGAGCATCCAGATGGCTGGCACGGCGTCATTGTTTTCTGGGCATTGTATAGCTGCTTAAAAGCTTAGGAGAGAGTGCAGCTAAGCATAATCAGAACGAGCCATCAGGCTGAAGACAACAATGCACATTTTGCTTGCGTCCAAAATAGCTTTGCAGATACCTATTACTTACGGTTCCCTTTGCAGGACGTGCAAGTTGCATCAGGAGCCTGCTCATGCAAGGAATTCAAAGACGGTGTAATTGAAGGAAAAATGAAGCCAGAAGCCGGGGCACATTTCTTGTGACACGCTCGCCATTACGGTGGTCAAGGCAAATCGTTTTATGAGCAGTTACTCTAAAACAGGGTCTGGTCAACAGAGGCAGTCTAAGACTGTGGGTGGCCATCCCCAAATCCAGACTGAGGTCGATCTGTTTGGGGGCCCCTCAATATTGGGGGAGGCTTGGCCCTCTGCCCACAAATATATTTCTGTAAATTTTTATTTATAATTTTTATTTATTACAAAAAATTCAAACAGTAAAAAATTCATTGTTACATGTTAAACCTTGACTCCCCTCCCCCTCTTTCTGTGGTTCCTTAAATTTACAGTGGTACCTCAGGTTATATACTCTTCAGGTTACATACGCTTCAGGTTACAGACTCCGCTAACCCAAAAATAGTACCTCAGGTTAAGAACTTTGCTTCAGAATGAGAACAGAAATCGTGCAGCAGCGGCGCAGTGGCAGCGGGAGGCCCCATTAGCTAAAGTGGTACCTCAGGTTAAGAGCAGTTTCAGGTTAAGAACGGACCTCCGGAACGAATTAAATACTTAACCCAAGGTACCACTCTTTTCCCCCTGCATTTTCCAATTAAATCTCTTTATAATATTTCATACAAGTTTTAGCAACTCCACATTTTTACAATAATCTTGCTAATGTCTTGATTTGTTTACAATTTATTTGTAAATATTCAGTAAAAGATTTCCATTCCCTGTTAAAGAGTTTGTTGTCTTGATTTCTTATTCTCCCGGGCAAGTTTTGCCATTTCTGCATAGCCCGTTAATTTCTGTAGCCATTCTTGTCTCGTCGGGACTTCCTCTTCTTTCCATCTTTGGCCAAAGGGAGATGCTGAGGATCAAAGCTGCCAACTTCTGTATGAAAAGCAGATGCTTTGCCCCTCCCCTGAAATTATTAGATATGATAAAGCAGCAGGAAACAGAGGTCTTGATTGGCCTGATTTTTACTGCCTGTGGCTAAGAAATTAGGAGGCACTTTTACAGTCTTTTAATGAGCATTTGATTGTGCTGGTTTCACGGGGACTTTTAAAGCACCATTTACCTGCTTCTTTGGTATCTGGTGGGCTGGGAATTGGAATATAAATAGATGTAACAATTCAGGAGAGGGAGGTATCGAAAGGCAAGAAGAGCACACTGACGCCTGAGAACCTGGATAGCTTATATTGTCCCCCCACTCTGCTTTCCCTTAGCTAACCTTTGCAAGCAAGTGAAATTTTATCTGAAATGAGACGCACACGCAGCAATTCACCCACTGTTCAAAAGCTGCCTTTGTGCAATGATACAGCCAGGAGTTGATAGGACAGGTGCAAGATGCAGTTTCATGCGCCGTAATTTGAGGGCTCTCTGGCTTGTAACATCTGTCCATCCCCCCTTGAATCGGTGGAGTAGTTTGATACAGTTCACATTTATAAGCGAAGCTACAGACAACAGGCATACCCAGTAGTGATGTATGGAAGTGAGAGCTGGACCATAAAGAAGGCTGATCGCCGAAGAATTAATGCTTTTGAATTATGGTGCTGGAGGAGACTCTTGAGAGTCCCACGGACTGCAAGAAGATCAAACCTCTCCATTCTTAAGGAAATCAGCCCTGAGTGCTCACTGGAAGGACAGATTGTGAAGCTGAGGCTCCAATACTTTGGCCACCTCATGAGAAGAGAAGACTCCCTGGAAAAGACCCTGATGTTGGGAAGATGGAGGGCACAAGGAGAAGGGGACAACAGAGGACGAGATGGTTGGACAGTGTTCTCAAAGCTACCAGCATGAGTTTGACCAAACTGCGGAAGGCAATGGAAGACAGGAGTGCCTGGCGTGCTCTGGTCCATGGGGTCATGAAGAGTCGGACACGACTAAACGACTAAACAACAACAACAACATCATAATTCAAAAGCATCAATTCTTCGGCGATCGGCCTTCTTTATGGTCCAGCTCTTACTTCCATACATCACTACTGGGAATCCCATAGCTTTAACTATACGGACCTTTGTTGGCAAGGTGATGTCTAGAATCATGGAACTGTCGAGTTGGAAAGGACCACGAGGGTCATCTAGTCCAACCCACTGCAATGTAGGAATCTTTTGTCCAACGTGACCCTGAGATTACGAGTCTCATGCTCTACCGACTGAGCCATCATTGATTCCAGTCACTGAATGTGTGTTTTCAGTTTTAATTAATTTTAAGTGCTGAATTCAACATCATGGCACGTGAGGTCCAGGGTGGACTAATTTCCCCATCCTCAGTGGGTCATCAAAAATGCCGGTGGAGCAATCCTTGGCTGGCTGGTTGTTGATGCAACTTGTTCTGTTTGTTTGGAGCTGCTGTTTGTGCATGTGTTCCAGAAATATCCACCCACGTTAGCAGATTTGCATGAAGGGAAGAAAGCTAACGTCGACAGCAGAATTTGAAAATAATGAATGCTCCTCATTAGTGACTGTGTTCCAACATTTCAGCCCCTAAAACAAACGCGGGGCTGTTCTAGCCAAGATCTGAAAAGCAATTTGTTACAGTTCGGAAAACAGATGTACTCATTTTTATAAAGATTATCAAGAAACAAACTCCATAATCTTTTGGGAGCAGGAGGATGTTGATCTTTCTTAAATAGTTAATATTACATTGTGGGAGGGGACTAGATGGGCCATTGGCCTCATCCAGTAGGCTCTTCTTATGTTTAGAGAAGATTAAAGAAGCCCAGTGCTTGGAAAAGTCATCTCAAAATATCCTCCCATCAGCAAAACAAGCCAGTCCCACTGGATTTATATTCCTCCCCAGGGCGCCATGTATGCCTCATGCAAATACTGATTAAAAGATCATTTGGGGGAACATCCTCCTCCATCCGCCATCACTTTTCTCTTCCTGATTTCTGCTGAGCAAAACAGCTTTGGGATGAGCCAAATAAATTAAAAATGGAGAAACTGAAAGATGAAGGCAGCGGAATATCAAGACGGGATCTGGACGTCCGTAACATCTAGCGTTATGTCAGAGGGGAAAAGCTTTTCTCTATCCATTTTCTTCACAGCCTCCACACACGACGGACCCAAGGTCACTGTTCCTGGTCCGTCACTGCGCTTCAGACCCTGAGAGCCTATGTGTGAAATTAAGATTAACTGTACAGTGGTGTCCAAGTTTAGTTAGCATGGCGTAGAGGTGGGACTGTCATTTTGGCAACCGAGTCTGAAAGTGCCCTTAGGCGCAAGGAGATTATTTCACCGGTTCCGAGGGAAATGGTGGCCTTTGAGATCCTGTTGGACTCCAACTCCCATCAGCCCCAGTCAGAGTAATAATAATAATAATAATAATAATAATTTATTTATTTATACCCCACTCATCTAGCTGGGTTTCCCCAGCCACTCTGGGCAGCTCCCAACCGAATGTTAAAAACACAATACAGTGGTACCTCAGGTTAAGTACTTTATTCGTTCCAGAGGTCTGTTCTTAACCTGAAACTGTTCTTAACCTGAAGCACAACTTTAGCTAATGGGGCCTCCTGCTGCTGCTGTACCACCGGAGCATGATTTCTGTTCTCATCCTGAAGCAAAGTTCTTAACCTGTGGTACTATTTCTGGGTTAGCAGAGTCTGTAACCTGAAGCGTATGTAACCTGAGGTACCACAGTACAGCATTAAATATTAAAAACTTTCCTAAACAGGGCTGCCTTCAGATGTCTTCTAAAAGTCAGATAGTTGTTTATTTCCTTGACATCTGATGGGAGGGCGTTCCACAGGGCGGGCGCCACTACCAAGAAGGCCCTCTGCCTGGTTCCCTGTAGCTTCACTTTTCATAGCGAGGGAACCACCAGAAGGCCCTCAGAGCTGGAGCTCACTGTCTGGGCTGAACAATGGCTGTGGAGACACTCCTTCAGGTAAATCTGGGACTGCATCTGGGAAATAGGGACACTTGGAAGGACTGTGAAAACATCTGGTGGACAGTGACGTGACCAGGCCATGGGCCACGCCAAGTGATCTGTAAAATGGCAATCTGGATCACCCAGCTGCCAGCACTTGGCAAATTGGCCTTCAGATATACTGGACCAAGGCCATTTAGGGTTTAAAGGTCAGCACCAACACTTTGAATTGTGCTCGGAAACGTACTGGGAGCCAATGTAGGTCTTTCAGGACCGGTGTTATGTGGTCCCAGCGGCCAGTCACCAGTCTAGCTGCTGCATTCTGCATTAGTTGTAGTTTCTGGGTCACCTTCAAAGGTAGCCCCACGTAGAGTGCATTGCAGTAGTCCAAGTGAGAGATAACTAGAGTATGCACCACTCTGATGAGACAGTCTGCGGGCAGATAGGGTCTCTTCCTGCGTACCAGATGGAGCTGGTAAACAGCTGCCCTGGACACAGAACTGTCCTGCACCTCCATGGACAGCTGTAAGCCCAAAATGACTCCCAGGCTACACACCTGGTCCTTCAGGGGCACAGTTACCCCGTTCAGGACCAGGGAGCCCCCCACACCTGCCCACCCCCTATCCCCCCAAAACGGTACTTCTGTCTTGTCAGGATTCAACCTCAATCTGTTAGCCGCCATGGCTAGTAATCAGGGATGATGGGCATTGTAGTCCCCCAGCAATTGAAGGGTCAACCCCAGGTGGCAGATATTTCACATTATATGTTAACTTGTCCCCTATATACAGATCCAAGGAGCCACTTTCTGAAAGCCCTGCTTGTATAAGATAGCAAGCTCTCCCCAACTGAGATCACAAGAGCACTCTCCTCTCCAGCAACCTGTATTCAGCAACATTATTGCCTGGGATTGCAGAGACAGGGCATAGTCACCATGGCTCATAGCCATTTCTAGTCTTACCCCTGTGTTCACATTCAACAGAACCCCACACCTGTTCAGTGTTAAAATTGCCAGGATCGCAGCCCTTAACTGCAAGCTGCATCTGCGGGACGTTTTCTCTCGGATGAAATAGTTACAGCAATGCCCCCCTCCCCTCTTCCCACTTCAAATCGAAAGGCGCGTGGATTCGAGGGTGGTTTTGATTTATTTTTAAGCTCAGAGGAGAAAATCTGCAGCAATGCAGAGGCTGCAGTCGGTTGAATAAAAGATTCGGCTCCAATTGCCATGATAAAGCGCTGCTTCGTGCATGAAATGGATGGGCCCAGCTTCACAGTTTCAAGACGCCTCATCAGCTGTGTGGGTGCAGAGAAGTAGAACTAACTCGCAGGAGACATCGGTGAGCTCAGAGGTGAACAGGGGAGGGGCTGTGAAGTGGCTGTGCCGCAGATGTTTTATCTGGGCTCTGGAAACACTGCATTTTTAATAATAATAATAATAAGATTTGGCATGGTGGTTGGAGTGGCGGTTTGGGACTGGCAGTGATGGCTGGTACCCCTTAGGACAGCCTTTCTCAACCTTTGGGTCCCCAGATGTTGTTGAACTACAACTCCCATCACCCCTAGCTAGCAAGGCCAGAGCTCAGGGATGATGGGAGTTGTAGTCCAACAACATCTGGGGACCCACAGGTTGAGAGCCCCTGCCTTAGGACTAGCAGGATGGAAGGCAGGAGTCAAACAGTAGGTGGCGCCAGAGCCAATGACAGACAGAGCCAACTAATCCTAGTTTGGTCTCCGTCCCTCTCCCTGCTGATTTCTACCAGGGCAACACTGAGATAAAGGAAGAGGAAGCGGACAGTCAGAGGGGATAGTTGTAGGAAGGTAGGGACTGGTTGAGCGCAGACTGTGGCTGGTGGGGCAGTACCCTATTTTCTCTGAGGGACCAGCCTCCACTGGGGACTGGGCAGACCTGAGTTCAAATCTCCACTTGACTGTGAAGCTCAGGGGGTGATCCTAGCCCAGCTAGCACTTTTCAGCCTATCCTACCCCACAAGCTTGTGGGGAAGATAAAATGGAAGAGGGGACTCTACACATGCCCTTGAGCTCATTGGGCCACAGGTGGAATAGCTAAAAACTAAAGGGTTGGTTTTCTTCTTTTGTTCTTCCCTTGGTGATATTTGCCCTATCCTCATGGTTGCATGATTTTTGCACATACAGGTGGATGGAAAGTGTTTTCATTTATATCTCACCAAGGACCTTGAGGTATCATTCTCCTGGTCCTCATTTTGTTTTCACCACAATCCTGTGAGGTAGGTTAGGCTGAGACAGCGACTGGCCCAAGGTCACCCAGTGAGTGTCATGGCTGAACTCCAGTCTCCCAGATCCTAATCCCAACACCCTAACTACTACAACACTCTTAAGTCTCCTTGCTGTGATTTCCATCCTCATTGTAGCTAGGGAGTGACGGGATGAACCTTCCTTGCTGCATTCTTAATAACAACCACCCCATATGTGGGTTGGACCTTAAACTGATTCTATTCTTCCCCCAGGGAATTCTAGGAGCTGAAATCCTGAGTTTATGGGTCTCTAGTAGAAGGCTCAGCACCTCCTCCAGATTTCAGCCATGGTTACTCCAGAAATCCCCTTTGTAGGCACCCCCTTCCGCAGTGAGTCTGCCTCCTCAAGTGCGCCACATGCTCAGGTGTGAGCCCTTGGCGTGAACCCAACCGTGCCAGCCCTTGGTGCCAGTTCTGAGTCCCAGGTTGCTTTCTTAAGGGGAGCTGGTACTTTAAACTGGTGCAGACAATTGGTAAAGGGAAAGGACCCCTGGACAGTTAAGTCAAAGGCAAATATGGGGTTGCAGCGCTCATCTTGCTTTCAGGCCGAGGGAGCTGTCCTTTGTCCACAGACAGCTTTCCAGGTCATGTGGCCAGCATGACTAAACCACTTCTGGTCCAACGGGACACCGTGACGGAAACCAGAGCAGACGGAAATGCCGTTTACCTTCCTGCCACATTGGTACCTATTTATCTACTTGCACTGGTGCGCTTTCGAATGGCTAGGTTGTCAGGAGCTGGGACAGAGCAACGGGAGCTCACCCCATCATGGGGAATCGAACCGCCGACCTTCCGATCAGCAAGCCCAAGAGGCTCAGTGGTTTAGGCCACAGTGCCACCTGCGTGTAAACAATACAGGTTTTTAGTTTAGATATGCCAGAGGGGCACAAGGAGAGAAGAAATCTCTAACAACAAAACTTGGAAGCATTCTTAAACCATAGAACCAGTCTCCCCTCCCTCACCCAGTATAGCAAACAGCAAAATAGTCTTTTATTGTTCATGAATCGATGGGATCTTTCATTGATTGCCCACGA